AGCTAAACACTGAGCTGAACTCAGGAATACAGTTGCAGAGAGGGATGAGTGATGAGCAAAGGGTCAAGAACAGGCTGGAGAAACCCACTAACCTGAACAAGAAACAGCTGACCTGAACAAGGGGCTGCTCATGGACCGCAGACTGATAGCTGGGAAACCAGCATAGGATTGTTATAGATTCCCTGAAGGAGGAAGTAAGTTTGGAGATCTGGACAATCTATGGGGCCACTGGTTGTGGATCAGTATTTACCCCTAGTACACAAATGGACTCATAGAGGGATACTCTCACAGCCTAGACACACTGGGGAGGGTCTAGGCCCTGCTCCAAATGATATGACAGACTTTGAAGATCCCCATGGAAGGCCTCACCATCCCTGGGGAGCAGAAAGGGTTTGGGATAGGAGGTTGGTGAGGGGCAGGGGTAAAGGGGAGGGGGAGGGAACTGAGATTGATGTGTAAAAGAATCTTGTTTCTAATTTAAAGAAAAAAAGAAAATGTAAGCAGTATAAAATCTACATGTTTTAAAGAAAACATGAGTACTACAACTTTGATTAAATTTAGGCACTCACCATTAATGTTTCAAGGCATTGTTCAAACAACACTGTACCTCAAATCGTATACTATTTTTTTTCAGATGAGGTTTCACTGGGAAGCTCTGCATGGCCTTAAACTCACAATCCTCCAGCTTCAGCTTCCCGGGTGCTGGGATTACAGTCATGTTCCACCTTGCCCATCTTAACACTGAACTTTTTTAAAATTGATTTTTATTTAAATTAAAAACAACTTATTTTACATACCAACCCCAGTTCCCTTTCCCTCCCATCCTCCCATTTCCCCCACCAACTCCCCATTCCACCCCCATCCACTCCTCAGTGAGGGTGAGGCCTCCCATGGGGGATCATCAAAGTCTGTCACATCATTTGGTGTAGGACTTAGGCCCTGCCCCATGTATCTAGGCTAAGAGAGTATCTCTACATAGGGAATGGGCTCCCAAAGTCCATGCACTAGGGATAAATACTGGTTCCACTGCTAAGAGCTCCCTAAACTGCCCACATCTCCTAACTGACATCCACATTCAGGGGGCCTGGTTTAGTCTTATACAGGTTCCCTAGCTGTCCTGGAAATTTCCCTAGTGCCAGGCTTCTCATTAAGCCCAAAACAGCTACCTCTATTAAGGTATATCTTTCCTTGCCCTCCTTCTCTGGAATACTACTCTGAAGTATAAACAACAACAACAACAACAACAAATAAACAATGAAATCTTGAAATTTGAAGGCAAATGGATTGAACTAGAAGAAACCATCTGAGTGAGGTAACCCAGACACAGAAAGACAAAGACTATGTACTCACTCATAAGTGAATATTAGACATAGAGCAAAGGATTACCAGCCTACAGTCCACAACCCTTGAGAAGCTAGGTAACAAGGAAGACCCTAAGAGAGACATACATAGTCCCCCAGAGAAGGGGAAAGGGACAAGATCTCCTGAGAAAATTGGGATAATGGGGGAGTGAAGAGAGGGGTAGGAGAAAGAGGAGGGGAGAAGAGAGAGGGGGAAGAGAACATGAGGGATCAGGAAGGTCGAGTTTGGGGAAGAACACTGAATTTTAAAGCAAGGTTCTCCTTATTTTGTACTCTCTTATTCAGCTGACAGTTCACTAGCTGGTCAGGATGAGAGGAGGCTCTGTCTTTTCATGTCACCAATATAAATGCTTCAAGGACAGAAATGAAGTAATTTCTGAGGTATCTAAGCATTGAGTGTATCACTTGCACTTCCATTTACACTACAGGTGTGAGACAAGGGCCTCTCCATTGCACTGAACATCTCACTGTCTAGAAAGTTCTCTCTTTCCTGAGACATAAATTAGTATATGTGTAGTAAGAATGATGGTGTATAGTAAGAATGTTAATCTTCCACAGGACCACCCACGTGTTTGGAATATATATGGAGTTGCTTCTGGTACCAGCATCCCTTTAGGTAAAAGCTGGGCTGCTCTGTCACTTCCTAGAAATAATACCACCAGATTTCTTAGAGATTGCACTAATCTCTTACATCTCATTTCACTGTTATTTAAGTTAAAAAGACACACTCTTGTAGACTACTCTCTTATACTTGAAATAATTAAAGGAACCTATGGTCCTCTCTAGAATATCTCACTAGTACCATACCCCTGTCAGTGATAAGGAGCTAAATATGATGACATAAGAACATGACTGCTGGCCCACAGAAATGCTTTTTTGTTTTTGTTTTTTGAAGGTTTTTTTGTTTTAACAAGGGAATGATGGACTCTAAGGAACATGGTCAATTAACATTCCCTTGGTGTATTTCATCGACTATCTGTATCTCAGTGGATTTGTCTGTACAAAGATTACCACCTTAAAGTTGGTCCTTGCTTACTAAGCACATATAGCCAAACATCTGTCCTGACTTACAGATAATCTTCATGGCATCATTTGAGTGAAATTAACATGACAAGCACGACACCAGCGATCCTGCAGTTCCTTGTTCCTCCAGTCTTCCATGGTTGCCTTCTATCTTCAGGTGACAATTCCATTGTGCCACCTTTCTAGATGGCTCTGTCTAGTGTCAAACTCTCACATTAGTCATTGTCAGCTTACCTTGTGATGCTTGCTCTGAACAGTGATTTTCTTAGCTGTCCCTTTGCATTCAACTTCTCCAGAGTGGGAATGAAAGCTCTGTGAGAGCAGGCTGATGCCTGGTGAGGCTCACTGCTGAATTCCCAGTGGTCAGCATAGTGCCTAAACACACTTGCATAAATGGTTAGACATGGTGCCATTGTGCTACTATTACACTACCCTTCCAAGGGGAAACAGAACACAGGCCACATGTGTAGTTACAATTTTCTAGCAGTCACAATAAGAAAAGGAAAAACAAACCAGATTATTTTTAGTAATATGTGTCATTTAACATGCCTCAGCTATGGTTATTTCAACATCTAATCAATGTAAGAAAGTTTCATTATACATTAAACTTTTATGTTAACTCTAACTATAATATGTATTGTACACTAATATGCATCTTGATTCAAATTTTTTCTTTTGAAATATTAATCATTATTGAAAGTTCACAAAGCTTATAGTTACAAAAATTAGATCAGTGTATTCAAGTTGTTCCAAACATATTTATGATTTTTCCAATCACCTAATTGATTATAATTGATTTTCTTTTAATTGAAATTAAGTACAATTTAAAGTTGAGATTTACTGTCATATTAGTCACCTGGCACAAGCAGAAGAGCTTTATATAAATACAGACACATGTATTAGATGGGCTTTCTCTACAACATGTCTAAACCATAGTGTTAGTTATAATGCTCATGCAATAAACACAATGGGATAATCATTTGAAAACATGTTAAATTTAGGGACCAACAAATATTTCAAAATGAAACAATTTAGAACATTTCCAAAATTATACCTGTATTAAGAATCTTTAGGGCTGGAGAGATGGCTCAGAGGTTAAGAGCACCGACTGCTCTTCCAGAGGTCCTGAGTTTGGTTCCTGGCAGCCACATGGTGGCTCACAACCATCCATTATGAGATCTGGTGCCCTCTTCTGATGTGCAGATATATATGGAAGCAGAATGTTGTATACACAATAAATAAATAAAATCTTAAAAAAAGAATCTTTATTTTACTTGAGTTTCAATCCAGAATATCTTATTCATCGAGAAACAGGTGAATTTGTGATGACCACCTAAATGTTCATGTAATAGTCTATAGTGGATGAATGTTATTACTGTGCCATTAGCAGATGCAATTAAAACTTGGCACTGTAAGCTAACTTTATCAAACTTTTATAGTAGCTTATTTTCCTACAGAAAATCCCTTGTTTGCAGTATCCCTTTCCCTGGACATGTTTTTGGGATACTGACATGGGCTTGGGAGTCTATCGGATGCCCAGCAGGTACGTCTCAGTGAGGCACAGTGTAGCAATCCATCTCTGTCCCATACCTTGAAATGTAGGTATGCTCACAGGTGTTGTGGTCCAAGTGAACTTCTTCCATCATTCGGGTATGAGGCAGGGAGATTGAGAACCAAGATTATTTTATAACATTATCTCAGGTTAGTCACCATGTCAAAGAAAAAACAGGTTTGCTAACTTGTGACCACATTACATCTGATAATTTATGTAAGGCCACACTCTTTAGATCTGTATAAATTTAAAACTTACAATATATTTCAGAAATGGGATGAGGAGCATATTTTGAATTGGGCCCCATCTTTAAGGGGTCTGTAAAAATCAATACTATATAATTATTTAGGAAGTGAGAAGAATGAGGCTTAATTTTAATTTAATTAAATCTGTGGTCTGGATTCCTGAACAATGATATGAATAAATTTTTAATACATACTAAGTATTTGAAATTACAAATCTAGGCCACTTTGGCCAGGATGTGGTAGACACGCCTTTAATCCCAGCACTCCAGAATCAGGGGCAGGAGGCTCTCTGTGAGTTCAAGAACAGCCTGGACAGTGAGTTTCAGGACTACCAGAGCTGTTTGGAGAGACACTGTGTCAAAAAAAGAAAAAAAAATCTAGGCCAGTTTCAAGTGTCATTGTTTATTTTGTTATAATTCCTGAAACAGTGCAGTCTTAACAAAAGAGCCATTAGGACTAACAATCTCTAAGGTAGGCTTTATGTCCTTAATCACAGAACGAGGCACATTATTGCCTTATTAGTAAAATGAAAACTCAACAAGAGGGTGAAAGTGCGTCCCAAGGTAATTGTCTCCTCCACAAATACATATGGAATAATAGGGGGAAGTTCAATGCACTAAGCATTTAGGCAAAACAGGAACGTTTAAAATACTCTGTTCATGGTTAAAAATAAGTTGTACTCTAAGTCCACTGATCATTGCCAGGCAGAACCAAAGTTGAGAAATTTCTATTAAAAACATGACTCAGAGGAAAAAATACAGGGGCTAGCCATGAAGGAAATGATCTGGGGCCAACCTCCATTGGTCCCTCCTACAGTCACATGGCCGGGACATCTTTAAAAAGGAATTATCTGGACTCAAGAGGATCATAGCACCTTCCCCCTCCTGCAGCCTCTTTCTCACCTGGTAGAGAAATCTCAGAAGGTTCACAAGATGTGTGATGCCTTTGTGGGAACCTGGAAACTGGTCTCCAGTGAAAACTTCGATGATTACATGAAAGAAGTGGGTGAGTGCTGTGGGGGGTGAGGGGTTCCCCCGCTGGGGAGAGGGCTGGTAGCCTGCTTCCAGCTTGGGAGCAGTTGCTGAGAGAAAGGCTGTTTTCTGCATGGAGGCTGTAGAAGCCACAAGAAAGAGCCTGTTCTAGAAGCCTCCTGAATGAAAGGTTCAACCTAGTGCTTCCTGCAGGTGAGCCAGCAGGGAAAGGGAAAGGAGTCTAAATAAAAGTCTGTTAGGATCCACAGAATGATAAGTGTTGCCTTCAATGCCACCCTTGTGTCGTGTGTCGCTGTTCTGCACTTGGCTCTTTGTTTTTAACATCTCCTTTTAAATAAAAATGTTGCAATAACTCAGAAAGAAAAATAGACTTTTTTTTTATTGCACGGAGTACTTTTTCCTTAAAACTGAAGTCATGACACTGCCCATCTTAGAAAAAAAATCATGTTGAAAAATATATTTTAGCATTTTTTTCCCGATATCAACATCACAGTAGACTGCTTGACGTTAGGAAATATTTTTCTTCATGGGGTTGAACATTCATTGGTTTGGAATGATATGGATGTCATAGATTTAGTGAGTAATTCAAAGGGAAAGTTGGCATGTGAAACACATATGGAACATGCCTTTCAGATAGCAGAGGTTCGAAATGATTTAGGTTCTGTCAGCACGGCTCGCATGCTGCTGTGTGAGTGGTCATTAAATAACACTGGCAGCAATGCAGTGGCCATCGACCAGTGATGCACTTTCTCAGGGAGCTTCTTCATTGAACCCCCTCTCTCCATGACCTCCGTAAGGTCAGATCCCATATTACAGAGTATCTTCATTAGGACAGAATCCCCTAAATTTCCAAAGGCTTAACCTTTCCCTGAGTTATACAGTGGGAACTTTTGGTTATCTGTCAATATTGTCTTCCTGTTTGTAGATAAGAATCAGGACTTTCAGCATGACTGACCTTTTAGCATATCTGCTAGGTACAGCTTAGTATGCTAGTTCCCGTGTACTGACCCAGAAACACCAGGGTTTTAGACCACCTTTAGCTACTGACATTTTGAAACAAACATTTTGTACTTGTAATATTCATATCTAAGTTATAGTGACACTTTAAATTGTGAAAGACTCGTAATTAAAGGCAGTAAGTATTTCCTGAATGGAACTGGCAGTTATAACTGAGGCACAGTGGGCAGGTATTGCCTTCTGTGGTCAAATAAAGTCAGAAAGAAACAAGTGAAGCTTAGTTTTTCCTAGTCTCAGTCCCTCTGGAATAGTCTTCCACATTTCACCCCTCCCTCATATTGATTGACTGAACTGAATGATGTGTTATGCAGCAGAGTGAGGGTTCAAGGCAGAACTACATCATTTTCTCACTGGGGCTACTTTTTAGACAAAGAGCCAAGTTGCCGGCTCTGCATCACTTATTTGTGCTGTGTTTCTCAGGACAGCCTTAATTCTAACCTGTGGTCACTTCTAGTCAAAGAAAAAAAACTTTGTTTAAGCATTTGTGTTGGAAAAGTTAGCACATCGGTGACTACAAATTCTGTGTAACATACACAGAGAACGCAAGTGATTACTGTTCATCTAAGGATTTAAGTTGCTCACCCTCTACAGGAGAGCATTTCCCTCATTTAAACAAAGAAGACCTCACAACTTGAGTGACTGAGATGCAAAGTGTTAGTTTCCAAATTATTTTAAACAATGGAATTATGATTTATTGAGTTCAAAAGATATTTACTGATTCTCCCTTTAATTTTCCTTGCACAATATTGGGAATGGTATTGGCATTCTAAAATGGCATGGCATGCAGGAAGCATTTTTCCTTTTAGAGAAATTAATCAGAGATCTTCATTTCATGAGGGAGTAATATGGGAAAGAAACCTAGAAAATTACACTTGGCAACAAATGCTGTGATATGTGGTTTCTGTATACTCAAAATAGATGAACCTTTAACCCACTAACTCTACTTCAGGCCTGGTCTCTGACTTTAGATTTCTTTTTTAAATACAACTTTTAATATTTAAGAAAGAATGAAATGGTCAAATGGTCTCAATCAGAGATCTGAAATAGAGACAGTATATAGACACATGCATTATTGCCATATTCTTATAGGTATATTATAGATATGCTGACATATATCTAAAAACATACACATGGAGGTATGAAGATTTAATCTCTATAGATTATGTTGAAATCAATGAGTCTCCTAAAGTAGAGAGGGGACAACCTAAGAGTGAATCTGGATAGGTTGCTCCTGAGTGTATCCTCGAGGATTAGGGCCAATATGCTTAGCTGCTTAGCTTGTTTCAAAGGAGCGTCAAGTAATCTAGCATCTTTTTCTTCATGGACAAAAAATGTAAGTTTGCCATGTTTTCCCTTCTTAACTCCAGGAGTGGGCTTTGCCACCAGAAAGGTGGCCGGCATGGCCAAACCCAACATGATCATCAGTGTGAACGGAGATGTGATCACCATCCGATCAGAGAGCACATTCAAAAACACTGAGATTTCCTTCAAACTGGACCAGGAATTTGAGGAAATCACCGCAGATGACAGGAAAGTGAAGGTGAGGAATAAGGATTTGGGGGCAAGGAGAGGGCCTGGCTTCTAATTCGACAACCTACAAGACATGATTTCAAGACAAGGGAAGGAAAAGCTTTCCATTGGAGTTGGAATGTCTCTGAGCTCCCACATCTAAACTGTGGCCATCAGAGTGCAGATGATGTGTTACTGAGTTGTCCTCATAGTAAAAATGATTAGCATATTTTGTGCATCATACAATAGTGTGTATGAAGTAAATTAGAGCAATAAAATTTTAGAAGAATTTTATATTTTTGGTTTGAGGCTAGCTTTTAATGACTGGACCATCCCTTCAGCCCTACAGGAATTTTACAAAAGAATAAAAATCACTATAATGACACCACCTCAGAATAGTTTTATCATCTAGTTTCTTTCACAATACATCCTTTTTTTCAAATTATAATTTTATGTTCTATTTCTATTCAGAATATATAAGTAGATATATATACATGTGAGTTCTACATTATTGGTTTTAAGATGTCTTTCTTTCTGTCTGTCTTTCTTTCTTTCTTTGTTGGATTATATTCTTGTCACTTAGAGTAAGGACCTCAGAATAACCAAGGCTCCATATTTTCAATCTTATATTTGGCCTTCATATGCAAATTGCAATTTCTTTTCACTGTGCCCACAGAGCGTCATAACCCTAGATGGCGGGGCCCTGGTACAGGTGCAGAAGTGGGATGGGAAGTCTACCACCATAAAGAGAAAGCGAGAGGGTGACAAGCTGGTGGTGGTGAGTATATTCTTCATAATTAGCTGTAGACCCACCCTCAGGGCCTCAGGACCATTACTGCGCTTTAGCAAACTCACCTTCTTGGGCAGAACAAAGGCTCATTTGCATATTTGTTTATTTGGAGCTGGGTTCTCATGCTTGCCTAATGTGCTCTGCCCCTCTGAGCTACTCCTCCATACTCTCATGCAGCCATGCTCCACCCAGGCACGTTCTCCCCTGAAAGCAGTCCTTGCTTCCTCTCCGGAGTCACAGGCTTCCTGGTGCAACACCCTCACCAGAGTGTATCCTATACTTCTGCTGATGGCACCCACTTACCATGGAGATTTTCCAACTCCCTGAGAAGAAGACCTGTATCTTCTTGGTCTTCGCATTACCCTAACCAATTACACTCAGGGATAGATGTGCAATACAAACACAGAATTCTAGAACATGTGTTTTTTGATTGAGTATCATTTGCTTTCCAACACTGGGAGAGACAAAAATTAAATGCATGCTGTTGTCTCAGTGATTGACCTTGGAAATTTTGTGCCTGTGTCTAGGAATGTGTCATGAAAGGTGTCACCTCTACCAGAACTTATGAAAGGGCATGAGCCAAGGGAAGTGGCCCTGGACTGAAATTTGCATCGAACTCTACAATACTCAATTGGATGTATTGTTTTTAAAAAGATATGATTTTCCACTAATTAGCAAACAAACTATTTTTTCCTGAAGCTGGATGTTATTGAATATGGTTGTGTTGGTTAAATAAAACCTTTTTAGATTTACAAAGTGGTGTAATGATATTTTTATTATGTGTCCAATTTTCTATACATAATTTAGTGAAGAGAATAGAAAAAATGCATTATAATTTTGGTTCTGATGGAAGTAATAAAGTCTTTCATAATACTGCATTTTAGAAAAGTCAGTGTCAATGAACTTCCCTAGATAAGAGACAGTATACAGGGACCAAGACTGAAGTAAGCCCTACTTTAACATACCTAAAATTAGAAGCTATCTATACAAGACCCAGGGTAATTTTAAACACAGGAACATTATCCACATCTATGTGACTCAAGCATGGACATTTATATTTGTCCTGTCCTGAAGTATTGTTACTCAGCAGGGCACACAATGCTGTAGAAAAGAACTCTAGTCTCCAGTGTGTGTGTGTGTGTGTGTGTGTGTGTCTGTGTGTGTGTAAAAGAGGAGAGAGAGAGAGAGAGAGAGAGAGAGAGAGAGAGAGAGAGTCTTACTAAGTAGTCCAGGCTGGTCTTGAACTTCAATTCTTCTGCCTCAGTCTCTTATGTTTCTGGGGTTACAGGCATATACCACCATGCTCAGTTAGTCTCAAATTTTCAGTCTAAAACAGATGATTTAGTCAGTCTTTCATTACTGTAATCAAATGTGGAGGCTGTTTGCTTTAAAACAAAATAAATTGCTGGGTAATGGTGGTGCACACCTTTAATTCCAGCACTCCAAAGGAAGAGGCAGGCAGATCCCTGAGTTAGACTTAAGTCAGGTCTACAGAGCAAGTTCCAGGACTGCCAAGGCTATACAGAAAACCCCTGTCTGGAAACACAAAACAAAACAAAAATGTTGTCTTAGCTATCAGTTTTGGAGTCTGAAAGGTCAGGATCGTGCAGCCCCAGAGAGTTGGCACTGACCTCATGGTAGGTGTTACCATGAGGAGATGATAAGGGAGAGGGGTATCTCCCTGACACCAAGCAGGGAGGAGACATTCTTGTCATGTACAACAACTTGTTCTTATGGGATCTAACAGACCCCACTAATCCCATCTGAGGAAATAATCCCCCCACCACCATACTCTCACCTACACTGAACTATCACAATCTTTCAGTAAGTTCCATCCCTTAATGCTCCCAGCACCTTAACATACAATGCTGGGCGTCAAGCTTCCAGTACTTGAACCTTCAGGGAACAAACCATAGCAACATGCTGCACCTAGAAGCCGTGCAGAAGCCATGCCAGGCATCCCATAATTTTATTGCTAGGCAAGTATGACATTCTGGTTCATTAATAAATATGCAATAATTTTCAGCTGTTTCCAAACATTTATGTTTATTATCAGTAGCCTCTACTGATATCTAAACATTATATCTGAAACACTTGTATGCACACACAGGCATAAAAACAGTGAGGTTTGAAATGTATGCATACAGACATACAATAACAGTGAAACTTAAAACCAGTGTACATACAAATATAAAACAGGTTTAAAACATTTGTGGACACACACACACACACACACACACAAAAAAAAAAAAAAACCATCAGTTTCTCAGGAAGTGTATGTGTTCTGGTGTGTGTGTGTACTTATGTGTGTTGCATGCATCTCTTGTGGGAGGCATGAAAAACCTCTACCCTGAGATTTTTCACATATAGAGTAAGACTTCTAAATCACAAGATTAGAGTATATAGTACAGGGATATCTATAGTGCATGGAATATGCTGGGTGACAAGCCAGACACAGAAAAACAAGTGTCACATGTTCCTTCTGTCTCATATGCAGAAGTTAAAGGAAAGTCATCTTGGGTGTGGAATGGAGATTATTTAGGGTAAGGAGGAAGTATGAATTGTATCAGAGTATACTGTATGAATATGTTCAAGTATCACACTACCATACACTTACCCAACATGTATAATTAATGCATGGTAACAAAAATTAAGATACATTAAAATGTACACTCCAAGTGTTATGATTGTGATGTCGTCTTTAGAACATATTTCTAAAGCTGTTCGTTTTCTGCAACCTATTGTTTGTGTAACACCAAGGTTTAGAGGGACCATAGAAGGGACCAGGGTCCTTGTCCAAGAATATTTTTATAATCACAAAAAATAATGGGCTCCACAATTTGGGTTCACTAGATCTGTATAGGATTGATTAGGACAAATCTTAATACTGGCAAACCCTTATTTCTTAAGAACAAACTGTGGTGTCAGGCACCTTGCATGCCATAGATCACTGATCACCAGAATGATCTGATGGGAGGAGCTATTGTTTCCATCAAGATGGGAAAACCAAGCCTTAGAGTTCAGAGCACTAAAACAAAGTGGGTAACGGGTGTAGGGCTCTGAAGTTCAACAGTTATCATGGCAGAAAGCAGGTCTGGAAGCCATGGGTGGTAACAAAACCTGATGAGATAAAGTTCCAATGGACTCTGGGGAGATGAACAAGGAGTGCTCCCCAGAAACTGGTCTCCCCACAAAGACAACAGTTACCCTGGGATACCCTTATACTCTACTCTTTCCAATGGAACTGTTTTAGAACTCAGATTTGAAAAGGCACTATAGAAAACACATGATAAACTGAGGTCAATATTGGTCAATTTGAGCTCTTAACACAGCAGCAGAACAATTAATGTATAGTTAATACATGTTAATAAAGCATTAAGTGTGTACTGATGTTGATATCACTGCTTAGATGTCTTCTTTACAGTCTGTAGTATTCATCTTCTGGTGAAGATGAGTAACACTGTGATGGAGGGAGGTTGGAGAAATGGGCCAGGTGCTACTCTCCTGTCTGTGGGAATCCAATGGGCACAAGTCTCTGGAGCAGTTGTCACACACCCTTAAAGAGCTAGGATGGACCATAGTATTTTGTTTTACATAGTATTTTGTGGACTTCCCTCTCTCTCTCCCTCCCCCAACTCTCTGTCTCTCTGTCTCTGTCTCTGTCTCTGTCTCTCTCTCTCTCTCTCTCTCTCTCTGTGTGTGTGTGTGTGTGTGTGTAGGTCAGAGGATAACTTGTAAGAATTAGTTTTCATTTTTATCATATGGGTCCTAGGAATCAAACTCAGGTCCTCATGCTTGGCAGAAAGTGCCTTAATCCACTGAGATGTCTCTCAGACCCTGGAAGTGTTTTGATTGATGCTTGCAGCTGCAGTCATTCATAGAGGCCAGAAGTACACATACACACACACACACACACACACACACACACACACACACACACACACACACACACACACACACACACACACAGAGAGAGAGAGAGAGAGAGAGAGAGAGAGAGAGAGAGAGACCCCTCACTGTTGTAGGCCCTGTCTTCTTAGGCTGAAGAAATTCAGGGTACTAAAAGAGCCTATTCCTATAAATCCAAGGTATTTACATGGCCAGTTCCTCTCTATTCCATCTTTCTATTCTCCCCTTTGGGGAAACAGTCCCTAAGACTAGGACATTCAGAAGTGATCTTATGGAAGGATGGAATTGGGGAGATACAGATCTTTAGCAATCTAAATAAAACAAAACATGAAAAATGCCAATAAGTCCTAGCAAAGAATGTAGGAGGGAATCTTGTTATCAGTGTCCTAGATTGAAGGCTTGATTCTGGGCCAAGTCTCAACAATAGAACTGGCCACACAAGCCAGAAATCAGAAGGAAAACTAATGGGAAGGCAGTTAAAGGGGTTTGATAATATGACTACATTGGTAAAGGCAGGGGATATTGAGCATCTCTGCCCGCCTCAGCTGTGTGGATCTGAGCCTTGTCTGTAAACAGGAAACCTGAGGCAGGGCAAGCATTGTACATAACTGAGCTCTCTTAGTCAAGGTGCTCACACACTGATAATTATCTCAGTTCTGGTTCTGTAAGGCAGCTTTAGTGAAGTCCTTGTCTATTGAGGGAACAGTCTAATGAGCCCTATGATTGCCTCTGTTTAGGAGAGAGCCTCACTTTCTATCATTGTCCAGTTAATCCTAATTAGGGTGGTCTCATTCTACATAGATCTGAGAGGAAATACTCTTCTTAGAACCCAAGGTCATGTTAAGCTTCTAACTGTAGGTGGAGTTTTCCCGTCCCTGGAGCCACTTCCAAATTACCACACAGAGACTTACATTAATTATAAATGCTTGGCTAATAGCTCTCAGGCTTATCAATAACTAGCTCCTACATTTTTAAGTTAATCCACATTCCTAATTTATGCTCTGCCATGTGGCACATTTATCTCCTGGAGACTCCTTGGACTCAGGCCTTCTTCATCCCATCATCCTCAGTTTGACTTTCTTGTCTTTAATCTGTTCAACTATTGGCTAGTTAGTTTCTTTATTAAACCAATTCTAGTGACATATATTCACAGTGTACAGAAAGATTGCTCCACAGCATATAACAATAATTGGAAAATTGTGGACACTATACCAGTTAATCTAGAGCTGGACATTATGAAAATTGACAGCTGAATATCACTGCAAATCTTGACACACTAAAATTTTAATACATCTATGCGTTGAGTTGAATAGGAATCTAACCCGAAGTAAAGGAGGAAAATAAACATGAAGACAGAGATGGCAAGTTTCAGGTGCGGTCAGTCACTCATTGGGCATGTGTTACACACAAGTGGAGAATCAGTGCTTTTTTTTTTTTTTTTAAAGATTTTATTTATTTATCATGTATACAACATTCTGCTTCCATGTATATCTGCACACCAGAAGAGGGCACCAGATCTTATAATGGATAGTTGCGAGCCACCATGTGGTTGCTGGGAGTTGAACTCAGGACCTTTGGAAGAACAGTCAGTGCTCTTAACCACTGAGCCATGTCTCCAGCCCCGGAGAGTTAGGGCTTTTTATCAAAAGAATTTTATAAGATTTTGCTGCAATCTGATTACCATAGTTAGCACAATACTAAGTTTAAATATGCAATTTCCAATATCAACCACAATAAAAATCCCAGGACTTGCAAAAAAAATAAAATAAAAAATTGGAAAAGTCTATTCAAAGGCTGAAGACAATTTTTTAGCTATAAGCTGCCACAAAATTATTTTCAGTCTTAGTAGCAATTGTAGACTTCTGAATCCTGAACCATGCTGAAGCTTTAGAATCTACTTAAGTTGGATTAAATATTAAATGCATTTTACAGTATGGGATGGCCATGAGCCTTTGGAAGACAGGGACAAAAGTTCTGGTTTGACTCTTAAATGTCCTCCATGGATTCGTGTTTTGATGCTTGTTTTGCAGCTATTTGAGAGACTGTGTATTTTCAGAAAGTGCATCCTGGCTCACAGAAGTAGGCAATTAGGGATGGTTCTGTGAACCATTAATGTCAACTTCTAAGGTCTCCTCATTCATTATTTGTTTCCTGGTGTGCTGAGATGTGATGAGCCACTGCTTCACACTCCTAGCACTGAGAGCTCTACCATGCTTCTCCCTCCACTCCCACTTGTGGACCAAAAAATTCTGTGATTGAGAGCCAAAATAAACAATTCCTTGCTTAAGTTGTGTCTGTCTGGTATTGGGGTCATGGCAATGCAAAAATAACATCCCATCCAGAGAGGACCAGAGTGAAAGGCTTGTCCTAGAACCGGAGAAGCACCATGTTCTCACACTCTGTAGTTCCTGCTAACACTAATCAGGAGAAGTGCTATGGTAATTAGAAAAAGTGAGTGCTGTTTATTTCTTTTGTTCATTCATAAATCCTTCACTTTACATTTACAGTGTCTTTTACAGCAGGCGCTGTCCTAGGAATATAGAAAAGAGTATGATGTATTGCCTGTTTCTGATTCACTTTTATAGTAGCTTGCACATGTCTGAGAGAAATGCAATGCTATAAACTGAGTTCTTTATGACACTTCATTCTAAGGTCTAACTGTATGCTATGATAGGTATTGAATAGCTCCAAACCAGATTGCCACATGCTAGAGTTGGGTCTCTGAAGGTGGGTAGATGTGTATGAAATCAGCTGCCCACAATACAAGTAATTGGCCAGATCCATATTAACCATTTAATGAAGTTACTTAAAAAGATATGTCAGTAGTAAAAGGCTTAATCATCAAGTAACTTTGAATCTCAGACACAAGACTGTTAATTGACTATGACCTCATGTAACAGAAATTGCTTCTGGCTCCATCTTTGAGTTTGTATCATGATGGATGCAGCAGTATAGCATCACAGAAGAAATCAGTGTGTGCAGAGGAAGCCTCAATGCAGAATCCCTCCCTGTGAGTCCCTCCGAGGAGTGGGGAATTCTACAGGAGCTGGAAATTTGACTTTTCTCTTTTGTTATATAGGCCTACTGAGTTCTAAAAGGGACCACGGTATTCACTTCTGAATCCATATCAGCATAACAAGGTCGGGACAGTTGCCCACTACCCCTCTCCCCTGGTCAGTATACACAGATGTATGTTCTCTGCCTTCCAAGCTCAGGGAGAACAGCTGGAAGCAGTAGAGCAGGCTCTGGCAGCCTGCTCTGTATCTGAACACGAATCTGAGCACACGGTCTCCCTTGAGGCACTTATCAGGGCAACTTTTCCTGACCCACTCTGGCGCTGCTGTTGCCTTCTTCTGCTCTCCCCAGATATCTCGGTAACTTTTCAATTCATAAAATATAGCATTTCCCGTTTCTTTATATCTTTACTTCAAAAGCAATTCTTTCTCCCTCATAAGTTATCATTACTCTTTGGTGCTCAAACAGCAATATCTTATTTGCTTTTTATCTAAAGAGATGGCTTTATATACAAAGATGAATAGATATTTCTCGGTAGAAGGGCTATTTGACATAGAGAAGATAAAAATGTCAATACTCATATTCTGGTCTCGGACCATCTAAATTTCTAGTTCTCTAACACAGCCAGAGTGCAGAACAGCAACATCAACCCCTTCAATCAAATGTTTCTTAGAAAACTTGGGGCCTTTGACCTACTTCAATTGCTTGGGGTGCAGAGCATGAATCAAGAAAGAATTACTTGAAGAATTAATTTACCGCTGTGCTGTTTTACTTTTTAGAATTTGGATGTCATACATAACCCCTCTACTCCCCCCCAAAAAAACTTCCCAAAATTTACTTACATCATCTCAAATGGCATTTTTTCTTTTTTTATTAGAAAGAAAATTATTTTATGTGTCAATCCCAGATCCCTCTCCTCCCCTCCTCCCCTGCCCCCCAACTAACACCCTATTTATCCCATACCCTTTCTGCTCCCCAGGAAGGGTGAGGTCTTCCATTTGGCATTTTTAATATAAAAATGAGTTTGCAAACCATCCATGGGAAAGCATGTCTGTAATCCTAGCCCTTGGGAGTCTGAGGCAGGAGGATTGCTACTTTGAGGCCAGCCTGAGCTACATAGGGAGATCCTGTCTCAGACAGAGAGAGAGACACACACACACATACAGAAACACACACACACAGAGACAAAGACAGACAGACAGAGACATGCAGACAGGGAGAGAGAGAGCGAGTGTCTGAAACCTGAGGTTCTAAGCACTGATGCCAATATGTCCCTCCTTTTTAAGGCTTAAATCACAAAGCTCTACTCACTAATAATTGCCACCTTCTTTCTGGTCCTCAAATATTCTTGATTGACAACAATGATACTGTTAATAACACCCTAGAACTCTCTCCAAGTAACTGGAGGCATTTTAAGTTACATTAACAATATCAATACATCAACCCTGCAAGCAAGGGAAGGGACGATTCTCTCGTAATGAAGGAGAGGTTTGGGCACCATGACTTGCACAAACAAAAAACAGCTGAGGCAGACCGATCAAGGATGTCCTTGTTTGGAGTGGGAAAACATCAAGTCAGAGTTCGTCAGGCATTTGTCTGATATTCCCTCGGGGTTAGTCAGCGTTTAGTGTTCAAAGGTTGGTCTCCACTGACAGTTGTTTCCATTCGGCAAGTAAGGTTTATCTGGTGACTCCTGGGTGTAAATCTCTTTGCTAGAAGTTAAAAGAGGTTCGCTGAATTAAGTTTTGCAGGTTGGGTTTCTGTCTTTTAATTTGGAAGTAAATACAATGAGTCAAATGCTGGTACCTGGACTCTCAGACTCCTGGAAGCCCATTGGTCACTTCAGGAATGCCATGAAATGAAGATGTACTTTAAGACAAGCTGCTGGAATCACAGAGGTGCCCACACTTCCTTGGCTTCCGGTTGTGAGTGCCTCATCTTCCCACAAGCTTTCCACGATGATCGAGCCCTTCTTAGGGACCTGGAAACTGGTGTCCAGCGAAAACTTCGAGGATTACATGAAAGAACTGGGTGAGACACACCATTATGGGACTCAGGAATTTGTGGCTAAAGATTTTGGTGTTGGGGCTGGCTTTGTACCTCACAATGACATTTTCTTCCTTGTGTCTCTAGGTTACATTTATATGAGACAATATTTATAATTCTATTTATTATTACTAGTTATTTTTTATAACAAATAGCAATTAGCATTTTCAAATTCTAACTAGGCTTGCAACTCTCCCAGCTTACAGTCCATGTGTTCCAGCCCAGGCCCCCATTGTAAAACACCATGCAGATCGTCCCGATAGAATTTTTCTTTAGTTGGCATTTCATTTAGCAGCTTTGGTTCAACCCCAAATTGCTGTAAAAGAATCACTGTAATTTGTATATAGATCGAAGTTGTCTGTGGTTTACTTTAGTTATAAACTTAGAAGCACTGTAGCAACTAACAGCATTTAGAGTTTTTCTGGAGTGCTCACATATGCACGAGTGCTATTCAGTGCATGATTTTGAAGGTTTTCTTTACCGATTGGCTGTCTCATTGGCTGTCTTTCAGAAGTATGGTCATGCTTGTTTCAAGCTCTGCAGTCAAGCATCAGTTATAATGAATTATGTCTGTCACAGCTACACCTTTCTATGAATTCTGGAAGAACAATAGTTAGCTCATTTTTCATAATTAATAACAACCTCTTTTATAAATAAGCCATATGCAAAGTAGAAGCTTTATTCACTTTTTACATTTTGCCTAGAATGGCCAATGGATACTTGCCATTATTACTAACATATTTACTCTTTCTAAGCACTGAAACAAAAAAATGCTTTATCCTCCAATAAGTTAGCGTGCTTATAAATATAATACTGGTTCCTCTTCCACAGACAGTATTAACTTCCCAGAAGCAATAAAAAAATTTCCCTATTCCTTCATGGATTTATAGACATGTTTGTTTTGAATAAAAATTTTAAGGCATCTAAGAAACTTGGAAATGGATATGGCAATGCATACCTACAATCCTAGTTGTCACAAGCCTATGGCAGGAAGACAGAGGATTCAAGGGCAGCCTCGCTACATAGGAAGACCTATGAAAAGAAAATATAATATGTTATATATGTAATATACTATATATGGGTTACAGATAATATTATATGCCATCTACCTACCTTTGTCTATCCATATTTCTGTATCTATATATGCATCTATTTATACATAAATATAGACATAAAATAGATATGGAAGAGGAATGGGTAGGAACTTGGGCTTATAGTCAGAATAGCACTTGTATTGTCTAGGAGCCAGGTTAAGCCTAGAACAAGGAGGAAGAGCAACTGAAGTCTTAATGTGTTCTGTGGCCCTTCTAAGTCCTTTCATGTACTTTTCCAATGCATATTTACTAAGGAGAAAGCTGAAAGGGAGAAAATCTGTGAAGTGTCGAGGTGGGAGTCCAGGTTCTGAGCATCTCACTCTTTCTCACAATCCGCACATCTGTTTTCCAACAGAGGTACATCAAGCCAATAGTCTGAAAGGACTGTAGATTTCAATACGTATTCATAGGCAGGAGTCAGTTTCTGTCTACCTCCTGTAAAAGTCATGTTTGACAATTTAACATCTCCAATCTAAGCAACAGGGCCAGGATTTTGAGCCAAGTGCTTCCAGCACTGTCCTTGCAAGTTTCCACAAAGTTAAATGCAAGCATTTGGTACCCTAAAAGCCATCCTGCAAATACACATTTCCCATCAAGCACAAAAGTTTGAGAAATTGAGTTTAGCTTGTCAAGATGGAAGAATTACTAGCAGCACCTAGGAAGGACTTGGATTAATCTAGAGACTGAGAACATCAAATAAGACACTGTGGCTGGACATGGTGGCACACAACCTGTGAGTCCAGTACTCAGAGGTGGAGACAGGAAGATCTTGAGCTCAAGGTCAGCCTGGGTTCCATAATGAGACTCTGTCTCAAAAGAAGAAAAGTCAAGATTTCTACACATCTTCCTGAATGTGTCAATAAGGTGCGAATCTTTCTTTGTCTCTCAGGAGTGGATTTTGCAGCACTTGATATGGCAGGTTCAGTAAAACCAAGTGTTAATATTAGTCTCAATGGGGAGAAGGTGAACATCCAAACCGAAAGTTCTTTCATGAACACAGTTATCTCCTTCAAGCTAGGGGAAGAATTTGATGAGACCACTGCAGACAACCGGCAAGTGAAGGTAAGCTGGAGTTAAATCTTGCTACCATTGTGGAATTTAGGTGGTTGGGTAGGGTTCATTTAACGTCTGACTTATTACTAAGTCTGCTTGGGCTTGCTTAAATCTATGCATACAAAAAAGTCAATCCTTTGCTAATTATTCAGGTTCATATTAGCCCTTTTGTGCTGTGGTTTGAGACAAGATCTTCCTATATAGCCTAGGCTGGCCTGGAACTTAGGATTCTCCTGCTTTTGGCACTTGAGTGCTGGGGTTACATATGTACCGCCTTGCCTGACAATCTGCACTTTCCTCTACTTCTTCTGATTTTTTGGTTATTATATGAAAGGTCATATAGAACAGAGAACAATTATTAAGGTCAAAAGCTCAAATAGCTTGTGGATTCTTGTCTGTGAGAACATGAATTTCATTGTCTCTTGAGACTTCTGGTATTAAATCATAGAAGGAACTAAGGTAAGCATGATGAAGAACAGACTTTCAGACTTGAGTTCGACATCTAGATGTCTAGTGCTCTAATAGGTAGGAAGCGGTGAGGCACTCCTTCCAATCACTTTCTCTGCATTTACAGAGCACTGTAACATTAGAAGGCGAGTCAATGATCCAGGTCCAAAAATGGCTCGACAAAGAGACAACAATCAAAAGAAAAATTGTGGAGGGAAAAATGGTAGTGGTGAGTGTTCCCTAAGTTTATATTTTTACGTGCTGTTTTGGATGCATATCCATCAAGTTTCCTCAACTGCCTTTGTACCCTGAACTGAGGGCTTGGTCTATGGAAAGAGGAAAGGACAGTTTGACCTGGAAACAGTCACATCTTCTAACATACCTCTCTACCTTTAGGAGTGCACCATGAACAATATTGTCAGCACCAGGATCTACGAAAAGGCATGAAGGAAGAAGGTAGACACCAGCAAGAACTTGGCCACTGCAGAAAAGTTGCTGCTGAAGAAAATTAGCCTCAGGGACAGTGATTTAAAACATTTTCAGCAAAGATTTTGCCCAATAAAAGCACTAATTGAAATGCAGTTTCCCAGCCATTTGATACTGAAAGTTATGGATGATGGTGTGAGTTTCTTTTCTATTCCTAGGTAGAACATTCTGACAGAAAGCCACTTAGAGCAGGAAGAGTTGACATTAGCTCACAGTTCAAGAGGGGATACTGTTCTTTGTCTCAGCAGGAAATGCACGGTAGCGGAAGTGAGAAGCCAGCATGTTAGTCAAGAAGCAGAGAAGTCATGGTTCATCCCTACATAGGAAGGACGGGGCCAGGGCAGGAAATGGAGCTAGACTATAATCCTCAAAACCTGCCCATATTGATGTACTTCCTCCAGAAAGGCTCCCTCCCACAGATTCCATAACATTCCCAAATTGTATCACTATCTGGAAACCAAGTGTTCAAACATGTGACTCTATGGTGGACGGTTCAGATTCAAACCACCCAGGAACAGTCTGCAGAATTAGTAAGACAGGAAGTTCCTGTTAACATGGCCAGATCTAAAATCACCCTTGAGAGAAAATCTATGGGCTTCTTGGTGAGGGAATCTGTAGATTAAGTAAACTGAGGTATTAAGACCCACCCTAAATGCAAAGACCCCATTCTGTGGCTGGGTTCCTGGACTGAATAAAAAGGAGAAAGCAAGCTGAGCCCCCATCTCCATGACTTCCCACCATAATGAACTGCAAGAAGGAGCAAAAACTTCCTTCATTTAACAACAGAAAGAAAGAAAAGAAAAAGGAAAAGCACTCGCTTCTCTTGCCAACAGCTCAGGTTCAGTTCCTAGCAGCACACTGAGTGGCTCACAAATGACTCAGATGACACTGTTATGGCCTCTACAGGCAAGTTCACACATGTGGTGCACATAAATATACTAAATACACATAGACATGCATGCATATGTGTGCATAATAATTAAATAAAGCTTTATCTCTTTGCATAGAGTACAGAAGAAAAATAACAATTTTCACTCTAGCAAGTGATATAAAAGTTGTTATTTAATTACTTGCCAAGAGAATATGAAATATGGACCAAGACCAGACTTTATAACCTGCAGAGGAAAATATGTTTTATTTTGAAATTTCTTTTTATTCATTATAACAGTAATAAGTCATTACATGAAAGACATGCTGAACTTTACAGGAAAATTAATTATCCCAATGCAATCATTCTGATGCTACTGTTAGTCCTACCGTTCAAGAAGAGATCATCACATTCCCTTTTGTTACACAACAGTATTTAATAAATCAATGATAAGAAATGTTTTCCACATTCTTAACAGGTTTTAAGAATTTTCATGTACACATAGATACAATAATCATAAAAGAACATAGTTTTTCCACTTGATTCAAAAAGATAACAGTCTCACCAAGACAGTAATCAAAAGTAGGTGGAGCCTTGGGGTAAAGGAGCAGTCACACTCACAAGTGTGCCTTTTCATGCTCTCTGTATTTCTGCTTTGAACGTTTATGGAGAAAGTAAAGTCTATTCTTCTTGTAGTTCTGTATCCAGTCCCTGTTTCCTCATCCCATGATGGTAGTGTAGAGTGACCATCTGACCACCAGCCCCAGCAGTAAGACAGATCAGGTATTGCCACAGAGAGACGCACAGAAAAGTGGGAGTGGTTTGGGGATCAGTCAGAGCTAGCCTTGCATTGTCATCTTCAGTCATTAATGGCTAAGTGGTAGACTTCAAGAGCTGCCTCACCACTTCATTTTATTCCAAACAGAGATGTTTCTCTTCCTCAGGGTTGTGGGAAGCATAAAGATGGCCTGAAACGGGCCAGCCCAAGTAGTCACCCAGCATCTTGGTTCTCCTGCATCTCCTTCCCTGATGACAAAGCAACCCAAATATGAAGAGCAGGAAGGATGCCACTGGTGAACCATGAGCAGAAGCCTAGGCAGAAACCTGCTGAGAGCACTGACCTAAGGTAATTCCTAAGAGGTTTCCTGCAAAGACAATGAACAGAGAAACTGGATTGTGGCTTACTCTGTAAAACAGTAGAGATTTCAGAAACTGTCTATCAACTCTTCAACATATAAGTCACAAAGCAACTACATCAAAACAATCTTTCTTGCTTCTCAAATTAATAAGTATTTTACAAATGAGAAAACTGAACTCAGCTCCCATCCATGTAGTAAGTCATAAATCCTCTACATTCAGGATCCCATTATACATTTAACATTAGGAAATGGTGGTGATTCATGTTTTTAATCACAGCACTCAGGAGGCAGAGGTAGGTGGATCTCTGTGATCTTGAGGCAAGTCTGGTCTATATACTGAGTTTCATACCAGCCAGAGCTACTGTTGTAAAGTAAGAAATGTAGCTCCTGAGAGAAAGATGCCATGTGACAGGGTTCAAGCAGAGGGTTTTTTTTTTTGTTTTTTTGTTCTTTGTTTTTTGTTTTTTTAATTAGGGAAAGGGATCATAAAAGGGGGAAAGGGAAGGGGCAAGACTTGCCTCCAGAGACAGGAACAGCAGGAGAGAGGAGAGAGGAAAGGGGGGAGAGAAGGGGGAGAGAGAGAGAAAATGGAATAGACAAAGAGAAGGAGAGAAAGAGAGAAGGGTGAGAGGTAGGCAGGGCCCCTTTAAAAGGGAACATAGTGAATACGCACAGGTGGTGCTCTTAGTAACAGCAGCTGGGGGCATATCCTGTCAGAACCCCAAGAACAGGCCAGTACAGCTGCCTGAATACTAACAGCTACATAATGAGACCATGTGCTAACAAACAAACAAATGAAAGACGGGCTGGAGAGATGGCTCAGTGGTTAAGAGCACCTGCTGCTCTTCCAGGAGACCTGAGTTTTATTCCCAGCACCCACATGGTGGCTTACAACAATTCCAAGGGGATTTGATGCCTTCTTCTGGCATCCATGGACACCAGGCATGTTAAGTGATGCATAAGCAGACATACTTCCAGACAAAACACCATGCATATAAAATAAAATAATAATAAACATTTAAAGAAATGATACATTGCTCAATGGGTAAAAGTGTTTGCTTTTCAGGCATACAAATTTGAGTTCCATCTCTAGAACCTACATAAAAATGCTCAGTACACTGGGTTCACTTGTGATCTCAGCACTTGGAAGGCAGAGATAGGTGGGTACTAGAGGCTCACTGGCTAGCCAGCTAGCTTACCCAATGAGTTCCAGGCCAGTGAGAGACCTCACTTAAACAACACAAAAGATGGATAGCTCCTGAGGAGAAACACCTGAAGTTATCTCTTGGGCCTCCACAGTCACACACAGAAGCACATGTACACCCAGAGAGAGTATGCACCTGTGCGCTCGCGCGCGCGCGCACACACACACACACACACACACACACACAGAGAGAGAGAGAGAGAGAGAGAGAGAGAGAGAGAGAGAGAGAATATGATGTGAGGATTCTGTGCCCCAAAATTTGAAGCCATTATGGCAGAGATGGTTTGCCATTCCGAAATCAAGTAACATATATGTCTTCTGGCATGGAGAATGCTGAAATGAACAGTCATGTACATACAGTATTTTCTAGTCTAGAATGTGAAAACTAAACATCTAGGTTTCAGCCATCTGAGGGAATAATGAGGGGGTTGACTGAATCAAAGCTCCTCTGACCCAATTTCAAGTATTTACACTTGAAGACCATATGCAAATTACACCTTATCAACCTTGAACCACCTCAGTTCCTCAGTTTCTGAAAACAAAATTCTAAGGTGAGATCAAGGAAATAAAGGAGGAGCATGGCACATGCCTGGAAATGAAATCACACACTCACACACACACACACACACACACACACACACACACACACACACACACTTCCAGTATGCTTTGTGAGGGAATTGCTTTAAAGAGATTCCTTTCTTCTATCGGCACTGTGGAAGGGCTGCATCCTAAAAAATGTCTCCTTCAGCATTTTGTGTTGATCCCAGAAAGGTCAACATACTTGAATGTATTTGGAAAATGTTAACAGCACTTTCTCTCCAAGAGCAAAAACAAAGGAGACAGCACAGCTGTGGGGAGCTCAGCAGATGCTGGAATTACCAGAGGAAGAGGCTGGAATGTAGAAGTGCTCTCTTTCATTTGTCCCCAGCGAGAGCCTTCAGTTCTCAGCTCTCCTATTAGAGATAATGAGGAGAAATCTTACACTTGTCTTTGGAGAAAATCCAGAGCTCATTACTTCTGGCAAAGAACAAAACTAATTGCATCATTTGGAGGGTTCACAGCTCCTTCTCCCCTGTTTTTATTACCATCCCACGAAGGAAAAGTTATTAGCTACCATTGGGATAGCATAAATTCAGTTATCACCGTAGTAACCAAAAGACTGGCCACTGTTAACTAAGGAAGCTACAAGGTGTGGTTTGCATTAAGAAAGCAATTTTAATCTCAGCATTCTTGGACTTTAAAAAGGTATTTATTCAAAGCATGAAAGAGGAAGATTGGAATATTTGGCCCTATGGTGATGCCTCAAGAATGCCAGATGCCCAATTGACTGTTCTCTGAAAGTGAATGAATCAGATTGTAGCTCATAACACACCCAAGAAGCTAAAGAAATTAGGGCTGTGGAGATGGTTCAATGGGGGAAGTGTGCCAGGAAAGAACGAGGATGAGCTTGAATCTCTAGAACCCACATTGAAGTTCGACACTATAGCCTACATCTGTAACCCCAGAATTCCTACAGCAAGATAGACGGCAAGTGGAGACAAGAAATGCCTGCAAGTTCACTGGTTGAGGTCTCAAATAAGGCAGGAAGCAAGGACTGACACCCAAAATTGTCCTCTGAGCTCAACAAATGCTCCATAGCACACACACCCTCTCATCCACACACAGGAACACACACACACACACACACACACACACACACACACA